GGAGGTCGGAACGTGCGGGAACCTGCGCGTATCTGGGCGTCTGCTGTATTAGGGGCTCTTCGTGTTCCTCGGAGTGCTTCTTCCAACTCATGGTGTTGATTTGTTACTATTGGTGATTTCCTCTACTTGCATTTTTATTGCATTCTTAGTCTTCCTCATTCGAATATACTGTACATACGATTGCACGAGTTGATGAATTTTTGCAACCCTAATACGCCTTGGCAATCAGCACTGAGACAGGGTGAAAAAAATAAAAGGATATTGCCAGCATTCCAGTTGTCATACCCCCTGCCCCGTTACTGTCAATATCTGATAATGTGAATCCTTTACAAAGAATTCCCTTGTAAAACCTTTGTAAAGGTTTCCTTTGAGATTGCCTTGGCTATTCACAGATCTTTGCACTTCTATAAGAATATTAGAATTGATTTGCTAATTTCATTAAAAAATTACTTTTTTAAAAATTGGGGTTGCTTTGAATCTACAAAGTTTTTTGAGAGAATTTACATCTACTCATATCTTCTAATCAATGAACATGGGATATATATATATATCGTTCAATAATATTCTGTCATTTTTACTCTAGAGGTCTTAAGACTGTTTTGATTTGTAACTAGCTATAAATTCTTATACTATTGAAAGTTACATCAGAGTTAAAATTTTGTGTTTCTGTTTAGTTGTTCTTGATTTATGGAAATCAAGCTGATTCTTTTTAAGTTGACCTTTTATCAATCTTGGTAAAATCACTCAATTCTAGTAGCTTATCTATAGATTCTTTAAGATTTTTTAATGTACACAATCATGTCATTTGTGACTAATGAGTTTAATTTCTTCCTTTTTAGTACTTATGCGTTTTATTTCTTTTTTCTTGCCCTGTTGTACTGGATCAGACCTCTAGTTGAAAGGTCTTCTTTTTCATAATTTTAAGGGGAATGCATTCAGATCTTTAGCTTTAATTGTGATTTTTGAGGGAGCATTTTAAGATTTGCTTTATCAGGTTAATGATAGTGTTTCCTTTGATTTCTGGTTTACTCAGTTTTTATCATAATGTTGGATTTTGTCAGAATTTCTGCATGTATCCAGGGGATCGTGTAATTTTCTCTTTTTTCTATTAATGAGGTGAGGTACACTGATTTTTAAGTAATATTGTTACTATTTTAAGGTATTATTATTATTATTATTATTATTATTATTATTTAAAGTAAGTTCATGCTCAACATGAGGCTTGAACTCAGGACCTGAGTTCAAGATCAGGAGTCACATGCTCCACTCACTGAACCAGCCTGGCACCCAAAGTACATTGATTTTCAAGTGTCACACATCTCTTACATTTTTCACATAAGCTCCACTTGGGTATGATATATAGGTATCATATATCATATAGCTCTCACTATCTTTGCATTTTTGTCTTATTGGTTTGCTTGTCTGTTTTTGCCTTCTATATTTTGAAGTTGTGTTATTGAGTAGATAGAGGTGTAGAATTTTGATTTTCCTGTTGTGTTGACATCTATAATAAAGATGAAATATTCCTGTTTAAGGCAAGAATAACTAATAGACATAAAGCCTATTTTGTTTGATATTACTGTAGTTCTACCTGCTGTCCTTTGGTTAGTATTCACATGCTATGTCTTTTTCTATTCTTTTACTTTCAGTCTTTTTCTACCTCATATTTGAAGGGTGTCTTTTGTAAACAGCATGGAGTTGTATTTTGTTATTAAATATGCTCCAACAAGTTTAGTCTTTTCTTAGTTTGTGTTAGTTTATGTTAAATGTAATTACTTACATAGTGTCTGTTTTGTTGTTATTTGTTTTTTCCACTTAGTACATGTTTTTAAGTTTATTTATTTTGAGAGAAAGAAAGACTGAGCAGTGGAGGCACAAAGAGAGAGGGAAAATCAGAAGCAGGTTCTGTGCTGCCAGGGCAAGAACCTGATATGGGGCTTGAGCTTATGTGAGATCATGACCTGAGCCAAAATCCAGAGTCAGACGCTTAACTGACTGAGCCATCCAGGTGCCCCTAGTTCATCTTTATGTTCTCTTTTGTCTTATTTTGGGTTAATTGAATTTTGTGTCTTTCCATTTTTTCCTTCCATCATACATTCATGTATGTTTGTTTTAGTGTTTTTGCTCTAGAGATTGCAGAATGCATCATTGATGCTTTATAGTGTAATACAAATTATTTTTACAATTTCCCAGTGGTGCTAGAATTTTAGAACTTTTAAAACTGCATTTGCCAACTTCATCCTGTCTCTCCATCCCCTCCAGTATTTCTTGGTAATGGATTTTAATTCTACATGTACCTTCTTTTAATTAAAAATTTTTTTATTTTAGAGAGAGAGTACATGCGTGGAGGACAGGGGAAGAGGGAGAGAGAGAATCTTAAGCAGGCTCCACACTCAGCACAGAGCCCAACATGTGGTCTGACCCTGGGATCATCACCTGAACTGAAATCAAGAGTCAGATGCTCAACCAACTGAGCCACCCAGGCGTCCCGATTCTACGCGTATTTAAATATGAATTTTTTTTCCTGGTTAATATTCATTGAAATTTACCCCTATACTTATGTTTTTTTTTTTTGTTTTATGTTTTTATTTATTCTCATGCTTTCAATGAGGATTCTTTCCCTTCTGCCAGGTGAACCCATAAAACTTTTCTTCATATGGGTTTGGATTAGGAGTTGACAGAATATAGGAAGCCCTCAGCACTAATACATGATAATAGGACCTTTATAGTAGGCAGTTTAGCAATTTTTGTGTAAAAATTTGAACTACACACCCTACAACTTGACTCATGGGTATTATCATACAGATTTGTTTGTGCATGTGAAATAAAATATAAAATAGATAGTGATGGTTTATAAATAATCTAAATATTGATTATCAGGCAGCTAGTTAAAACATTGTGGGTCATGGGACGCCTGGGTGGCTCAGTTGGTTAAGCATCCAGCTTTGGCTCAGGTCATGATCTCACAGTTTGTGAGTTCAAGCCCCATGTCAGGTTCTGTGCTGACAGCTTGGAGCCTGGAACCTGCTTCGGATTCTGTATCTCCCTCTTTCTGCTCCTCCCCTGCTTGTGTTCTGTCTCTCTCTCAGAAATAAACAGTTTAAAAAATTGTGGGTCATTCTTAAGACGGATTATTTTTTTTAAGTTTAGTTTTTTTATTTTTTATTTTTTAATGTTTATTTATTTTTGAGAGAGACAGAGACAGAATGCAAGTGGGTTAGGGGCAGAGAGAGAGGGAGACACAGAATCGGAAGCAGGCTCCAGGCTCTGAGCCGTCAGCACAGAGCCCATTGTGGGGCTCGAACTCGAGCCGTGAGATCATGACGCCAGCTGAAGTCGGACGCTCAAGCGACTGAACCACCAGGCACCCCTTAAGTTTAGTTTTGAGAGAGAGAGAGAGAGAAAATGGACGAGTGGGGGAAGGGCAGAGAGAGAGGGAGAGAGAGAGAGAATCCTGAGCAGGCTCTTTGCTATTAGCATAGAGCCTGACGCAAGCCTCAAACTCACGAACTAGGGCATCATGACCTGAGCTGAAGTGAGAGACGCTTAACCGACTGAGCCACCCAGGTACCCCAAGATGGATTATTTCATATCTCAAGAAAAGAGCTCTTAATGCATTAATATAAAATGATCTCTAAAGTATATGGTTAATTAAAAATAAGGCAAAAGGAGGTACTTCCACATATTGTAATGAGACATAGGACAGTCTGACCAACCTGTTAGTGAAAACAATGGTAAGTTATAGGTACTATATAAAAATAATCACTGAGAGATTTTAAAGAGAGTTAAAAACAAAAGTCTAGAAACTTGAATGTTCAAGAAACCTCCTTTAGTAGGTTAGAATGGAGACATTTTATTACAGCACCTGAATAGTATTGTTATTCTTGCTGTAGCAGCGTCTGCAGTCTCTGGGCTCTTGTTACCATGCCTGTGGGAGGTGGGGATGGGGAAAACAGGGCATTGTGATATCCAGTTTGACTTCTCTGAGGAAAGCCTGTCTGTCCTGCCTTCTTTGTATTCAGCTCTGCCCTCTCAGGACAGTCACTGAGAGGACAGATCATTCTTGGAATTCTGAAAACTGTGGCTCATGTGAGTTGGAATTATCACTTTCTGTATTTATATCAGGTCCTATGTTTTTATTGTCTGTCATGAAAGTTGCTCCTGGGATGTCCTTCAGGAATCTGCTCCCAGACCCACTCTTGTGAGTGCCTTCCCTAAGTCCTCTCCTCCCCAGCCTGTTCTTGAGTGTACCATGAACAGTCTTAGACCTTTCTCACGTGGTTAGTTTTCAGTCAGGAATACGGATGGAGCACATTTTCCCAAGGGAAATATTAAAGATGCCTGTCACAAAACCATAGCTTAATAAGGCTGTGATAAACCACATCCTTGTCGATACAAAGTTTTGATCTATTTCAGGGAGGTTTTAAATTAGACATAATGGTATAACTAGATAATAACTTTCCATCTATGAATTCCTTCAGAGTTTGGGCAAACCTAAGTGTCTAAAATATAAAATATATGAATGGTCAAGTCAGTTATAAGATACACGATTTGTCTTATATAGCAGGAGAAAAATGCTTGTGATCTCCCGACATAATGATGAAATAGTCCTTAGACTGTTTCTTTCTTAAATTATTATATCACATGCAAATTGTGCTTTCAAAGAGAGAAATATGATCTGAGGTACACATATGATGGATGGAGGCCACAAGTTTTTCTTAGTCAAGCTGCGTATTTTCTGCTACTTCACTTACTGGGGAAACTCCATTTTACAGTATTTGTTCACTTCAAGCCCTTCCGTCTGAAGGTGGCTTGTTTCCCCAATGAGCGGGAGGGAGGGTAGCGGCTCCCGACCTGCCAGACGTGTGCTGTAGCCCCAGCCTGAGTCTCCTCCTTTCTCTGATGACTCTCCATTTCCCTTTCCATGTTGAAAAATTGCCTTTAACTTCATCAGTGATGGGTATATTGACTTTTTTGAGGGGTTGGCAGTATTCAAGGACATGGCGATAGACTTCACCCAGGGAGAGTGGAACTACCTGGGTGCTGCACAAAAGGACTTATCCAGAGACGTGATGTTGGAAAACTACCACAACCTGGTCTCTGTCGGTAAGGACGTTTACTTGCAGATCATTCGGTATTTGCCTTGTGGAATTTCTGCCTCTTTCCATGTGGATTTCTGGATTGTCTGAATTCTGTTTCCTGCTACTGAGGGAATAATCTGCACTCTATGGTTTTGGGGAAGACGTCTCTGTCACACACTGTTCTTCAGGAGACCTTCACCCTCCTTGTTATTCTTCTTATTGTCTTCTTCAATGACCACAGCTGGACTTGAATTCTGCCATACCTGTAGGTTGATCCTATTTCTTTTCCTTTCTTGAAGTAGGACTTTCCAGATCTAAGCCAGATGTGATCTCCTTATTGGAGCAAGAGAAACAACCTTGGATAGTTACAGGCCATGACAGGCGGACCTTGCCCAGGTGAGTGAGAGCTCATTGACAGAGAGAGGCCTTGGCAACCCAGGTGGCCTTGCCCTGCGGCAGTTACCACCTTTGATATTTTTATTGGGAAGTGCCCTTCCGAGGACTGAGGCCTGACAAGGGAGAGAAGGCCTGAGTCATAGAAAAGTAGCTTTGTTTCTCTCCCTTCTCAGAAACATAGGTGCCCCCCTTCCCCATGACCAGCAATCTTTTCCTTATATGTGCAATCTAATTCTTTCCCAGCTTCCCCTTGTCATTTAAACTTGTGTAAGTATTGTCACTTCTGAACAATATTTCTTAAAAACCCCTATTTTACCTGTTTTTCAATGACTTGATCCCTTTTTGAGAAGTTTCTCCTTTTTTCAGTAATTCATGCTTTATTCATTCACTCTTATCCAAAATGTATTGATGTTTAATTTATGCAAGCCTCATTTCAGAACTTGAGGGAATTAAAGTGAGTAAATTATTATTATTTTTTTATTGATGTATAGTTGACACACACCATTACATTAGTTTCAGGTGTACAATGTAGTGATTTGACACATCTGTCCCTTATGCTGTGCTCACCATAAGGGCAGCTGCTGTCTGTCCCCACATTACTGTGTTCTCTATGCTGTGCCTCTCATCCTGTAACTTACTCATTCCATCACTGGAAGTCTATGCCGCCCATGTTCCCCCCTGCCCCCCAGCAACCGCCAGTTCTCTACGTTTATGGGTCTGGTCTGCTATGTTTCTATGTTTTGTTTCTTTATTCATTTGTTTCTTACTTTCCATGTATAAGCGATATTATATGGTATTTTTTTTTTCCTTCTGACTTATTCTGCTTAGTATAATACCGTCTAGGTTCATCTATGTTGTTGCAGATGGCAAAATTTCACTCTTGGTGTGGCTGAGTAATATTCCATTGTATGTACACCACATCTTCTTTATCCGTTCCTCTATGGATGGACACTTGGGTTGCTTTCATATCTTGGCTATTGTAAATAATGATGCAGTAAACATGAAGGGTGCATGTATCTTTTTGAATTAGTATGTTCATTTTCTTTGGGTAAATACCCAGCAGTGTAATAACTAGATTGTATGGTAGTTCTGTTTTTAACTTTTGGAGGAATCTTCATACTGTTTTCCACAGTGGCTACACCAATTTACTTTCCCGCCAACAGTGCATAAGGGCTTCTTTCTTCCACATCTTCACTAACACTGTTATTTCTTGTCTTTTTAACACAAGCCATTCTGACAGGGGTAAGGTGATATCTCATTGTGGTTTTGATTTGCATTTTCCTGATGATTGGTGATGTTGAGCATCTTTTCATGTATCTTTTGGCCATCTGTATGTCTTTGGAAAAATATCTATTCAGGTCCTTTGCCCATTTTTTAATTTAATTTTTAAATTTAGGTTTGTTTTTGTTTTTTTGGTATTGAGTTTATATGTTCTTTACATTTTTTGGATATTAACTCTTATCTGATATACCATTTGCAAATATTTTCTCCCATTCAGTAGGCTGCCTTTTCATTTTGTTGATGGTTTTCTTTGCTGTGTAAAAGCTTTTTATTAAAAAAATTTTTTTAAAGCATTTATTCATTTTTTTGAGAGACAGAGTGTGAGTGGGGGAGGGGCAGAGAGAGAAAGAGAGAGAGAGAGAGAGAGAGAGAGACAGAGGGACAGAATCCAAAGCAGGCTCCAGGCTCTGAGCTGTCTGCACAGAGCCTGACGTGGGGCTCAAACTCATGGACTGCAAGATCATGACCTGAGCCAAAGTTGGATGCTTAACTGACTGAGCTACCCAGGCACCCCAAAAGCTTTTTATTTTGGTTTCATTTTGCCTTTGTTTCCCTTGTCTTAGGAGACATAGCTAAAAAAATGTTGCTAAGGCTGATGTCAAACAGATTACTGCCTATATTTTCTTCTAGGAATTTTATAGTTTCAGGTCTCACATTTAGATCTTTAATCCATTTGAATTTATTTTTGTATATGGTGTATCAAAGTGGTCCAATTTCATTCTTTGGATTGTAGCTGTCCAGTTTTTCCAGCACCATTTATTGAAGAGACTGTCTTTTCCTCATTGTATATTCTTACCTACTTTGTTGTAGATTAATTGACCATAAAAGCGTGGGTTTATTTTTAAGCTTCTGTTCTGTTCTATGTATCTATTTTTGTGCTAGTACCATACTGTTTTGATTAATATCTCTTTGTAGTGTATCTTGCAATATGTGGTTCTGATACTTCCAATTTTGTTATTCTTTTTCAGTATTCCTGTGGCTATTTGGGTTTCTTTGGGGGTTCCGTAAAATTTTTGTATTATTTGTTCTATATCTGTGAGTAATACTTTTGGTATTTTGATGGGGTTTTGGTATTTGATTGCTTTGAATCTGTAGATTGCTTTGAGTAGCATGGACATTTTAACAATATTAATCCTTCCAATCCATGAGCATGGAATGTCTTTCCATTTATTGTGATCTTTAGTTTCTTTCATCAGTGTTATTTTAGTTTTCAGAGTACAGGTACCTCACCTCTTTGGTGAAGTTTTGTTCCTAGGTATTTTATTCTTTTTGGTGTAATTGTAAATAGAATTGTTTTCTTAATTTCTGTTTCTTCTACTTCATTATTAATAGAATGTATAGAAATGCAAGCAATTTCTGTATATTAATTTTGTACCCTGCAACTTTACTGGATTCATTTGTTATTTCTAATAATTTCTTGATAGAGTCTTCAGGGTTTTCTATATATAGTATTATGTCATCTGCAAATAAGGACAGTTTCACTTCTTCCTTACCAATTTGGATACTTTTAATTTTTCCTTTTCTGATTGCTATGGCTAGGATTTCCAATACTATGTTGAGTAAAAGTGGTGGGAGTGGACATCCTTATCTTATTCCTCATGTTAGAAGAAAAGCTCTCAGTTTTTTTACCACTGAGTATGATGTCAGCTCTGGGTTCATCATATATTGCCTTTATGTTGAGGTATGTTCCCTCTAACGCACTTTGCTGAGAGTTATCATGAACAGATGTTGAATTTTGTCAAATACTTTTTCTGCATTTGTCAACATGGTCATATTATTTTTATTCTTTATTTTGATAACGTGGTATATCATGTTGATTGATTTGTGTTTTATTGAAATGTCTTTGCACCCCTGGATAAAATTCCACTTGATCATGGTGAATGATCCTTTTAATCTATTGTAGAATGCAATCTGCTAATATTTTTTTATTTTGTATTTAAGTTCATCAGGGATGTTGGCCTGTAGTTTTCTTTTTTGTGATATCTTTGTCCAGTTTTGATATCAGGATAATATGGCCTTGTAGAATGTATTTGGAAGCTTTCCTTCCTTTTCTATTTCTTGGAATAGTTTGAGGAGAATAGGTATTAACTCTTCTTTAAGTGTTTGGTAGAATTCACCTGTGGAGTCATCTGATCCTAGACTTTTGTTTGTTGAGAGGTTTTTTTGTTTGTTTTTTACTAATTTAATTTTGTTACTAGTAATCTGTCCAGATTGTGTATTTTTTCTTGGTTCAGTTTTGGAAGATTGTATGTTTCCAGGACTTTACACATTTCTTCTAGGTTGTCCAATTTGTTGGCTTAGTAGTAGTCTCTTGTAAGTCCTTTGTATTCCTGTGGTGTTATTTTTCCTTTCATTTCTAATTTTATTTATTTGGGTCCTCTCTTTTTTTTTTTCTTGGTAGTCTAGCTAAAGGTTTATCATATTTATTTTCTTTTCGAAGCACTAACTTTTGGTTTCATTGAGCTTTTGTATTGTTATCAGTCTATTTGTTTTTGCTCTGGTTTTTATTATTTCCTTCTACTAACTTGAGCTTTGTTTTTCTTTTTATGGTCACTGTAAGTGTAAATTTAGATTGTTTTTCAGAGATTTTCTTGTTTATTGGTGTAGGCCTGTATAACTATAAAAGTTCCCTGTTAAAACTGCTTTCACAAAAAGATTTTGGACTGTTGTGTTTTCATTTTCACTTGTCTTCATGTCTTTTTTCATCTCCTCTGATTGCTTAGTTGACCCATTGGTTGTTTAGTAGCATGTTATTTAGATTCCATGTGTTTGTGTTTTTTTCCAGTGGGTTTTTTTGTTGTTGTTGTTAATTTATTTCTAGTTTCATACCTTTATGGTTGGAAAACATGCTTGATATGATTTCATTCTTCTTAAATTTATTTGGACTTGTTTTGTGGCCTAATGTGATCTGTTCTGGAGAATGTTCCATGTGCATTGGAATGTATACATATTTTACAGATCCTTCCCTGTTCCATTGGATCATATATAACTATCCGCAGATAATATGCTTTATTGTTTTGGTATATATACACACACACATACATACTTAGAGAGTATCAAACTGCATACAGTATATTGTTCAGTAGGCGATGTTTTCACTTAACCTTTGTCTTACTTCTATTTCCATATTGTATTAATTATTGTGACTTTATATATTTTATGTATGCATATGTATTATGAATATAATACATATGTATATGTGGGATATCTTTATTCTTGGTAGAGTAAATCCACTCTGTTATTTTAGCAAAGTTTTCCATTTTCTTTCCCTTATAATTTTTTCTTCCTCTTTATTATATTAACAGTTATCTCTTTAAATTTTGAAAAATTTATTACAGTGAAACGTCAGTGTAGTTTGAGTAATAGTAGTACTAGTGAATATTCTTTTACCATTTTTTAATATGGGATTTTGGTACAGATCTTTATCTCAAAAAGTTTTAAAGATTTTGTGCGTGCGTGCGTGTGTGTGTGTGTGTGTGTGTGTGTAGTAAAGTTTTAGTCCATCTGCAGTTTAATCCTATATTTGGCATGAAGTAGTAATTTTTCATCATCATTTATTTGATTATTCTACTCTCTTCATCATCTGGAAGTTTATTCTCTAACACGGTAAGATCTCATAAAAAACTTTGTGTCTCCTTCTGGGCTGTCTTCCTTTTGATACCTTAAATCCTGTGTCACTACTAATTTAAATTACTCAAGGAAATGTAATAAAATAGCCAGTCAGCTCTGAGGTTGCAGTTAAGATATGTGTTCTTATATTGAAAATGGACTACTTATCTTCATTTTGTGTGCTTCTCCACCTATGTTCAGTGATTTTGCTGCAGGCATAGGATAAGCAGGAGGTTGGATTGAACCAGAGTTGGAGATCGATTCAAAAATTATAATGATAGGTTAGAGAATCAGAGCTGAGTAAGCAAAAATGAGAACCAAAGTGTTGGATTGTGAAAAAGTATTGCTGCTTACTGAGTGGTAGTTTATATGAGAGAGGAGTTTAAATAATTTTCATTTCATATTTCTCTTAACTGCCAAACTCTTCTTCCATAGTTATAACAATTAATATAGATACTACATATATATTTTTTTAATGTTTATTTTTAAGAGAGAGAGAGACAGAGTGCAAGTTGGGGAGAGGCAGAGAGAGACAGAGACACAGAATCTGAAGCAGGCTCCAGGCTCTGAGCTGTCAGCACAGAGCCCGATGAAGGGCTCGAATTCACAAGTGGTGAGATCATGACCTGAGAAGAAGTCAGATTCTTAACTGACTGAGCAACCCAGGTGCCCCTAATAGATACTTCTTATTGAGGACTTATATTATGCCAAGGAGCTGTAGTCTTCTTAATCCTCACAGTTCCATGAGAATAGTTACTCTTTATCAAATGAGAGTTTGGGGACTCAGGTTAGTTAAGTAACGAACTAAGACATAAAACTAATGGACTTGAAAGTATTTTAATAGTGTGCTGGTCATTTCCACATGGAACTCATCAGTGGTGTGTCATTTTCTCTACATCTACCCATTCTACTTTGTCACTGCTGGAACCTCACTGAATTCTTCCTTACTTCTGTCAGAGACATTATAAAACAAGCATATAGTAGTTGGGAAGTTCCTGTAAATAGACTATATAGTATTCATGGACTTCTATTTATCCTCCATTTTTGTAGACTTACTTAGCATTTTACTTTTTTTTTTTTTAATTCCTCTCCCTGGACTCTTGTCCTCAATATTTGAGAATGTTTTCATCCATTTACTTCTTTAGAACATGATTTTCCCTTATCTAGTTTCTGCCATAGAAGTTTAATTTTTGATGGAAGAGGAATATATTATATGTATACTTTACTGTTATTTTTCAGATTTACAGTGCATGTGTGATACTAAGGAGTTATTTCCAAAGAATCATTTCAGTGGTATATAATGGAAAGATTAAAAAAACACTTTGATGGATCCAATTTCAGAGGCCTATCTGAAATACAACAGAGAAGTGAGAAGGAATATTTCCGATAAGAGAAATATGAAAAAATGCCTACATTCAGCCAGCACCCAGCAGCACATATTTATAAGGCTTTTCATAAGAATTCTTAAGAGCTGTATAAGAGAATTTATACTAACAAGAGACCTTATGAATGTAAGGAATGTAGGAAAGCTTTTAGTTGTGGGTCACAACTTACTCGACATTAGAGAATTCATACTGGAGAGAAACCCTATGAATGTATGGAATGTGGGAAGGCCTTTGGTCATGGCCCACAACTTAATTGACATCAGAAAATTCATACTGGTGAGAAACTCTATAAATGTAGGGAATGTGGGAAGGCCTTTATTCAGCTATCATCCCTTATTCGACATCTAAGAATTCATACCGGCGAGAAGCCATATGAATGTAAGGACTGTGAGAAGGTTTTTAGTTGTGGCTCAGAACTTACTCAACATCAGAGAACTCATGCTGGTGAGAAGCCCTATGAGTGTACGGACTGCGGGAAGTCCTTCAGTCACGGTTCACACCTTGTACAACATAGGAGAATTCATACTGGAGAAAAGCCTTATAAATGTAAGGAATGTGGGGAGACTTTTAGACATATCTCACAACTTGCTCGACATCAGAAAATTCATACTGGTGAGAAACCATATAAATGCAGGGAATGTGGGAAGGCTTTTATTCAGCTATTACATCTTGTTTGATATCTAAGAATTCATACTGGTGAGAAACCTTATGAATGTAAGGATTGTGAAAAGACTTTTAGTTGTGGCTCAGAACGTACTCAGCATCAGAGAACTCATACTGGTGAGAAACCTTATGAGTGTAAGGACTGTGGGAAGGCCTTCAGTCATGGTTCACACCTTGTTCAACATCAGAGAATTCATAGTGGTGAAAAACCTTATAAATGTAAGGAATGTGGTGAGGCCTTTTTTCAACAATCACATCTTACTCGACATCAGAGAATTCATGCTGGTGAGAAATGCTGTGTATGTGAAGAGTGTGGTAAGGCCTTCATCTGGAGCTCCAAACTTGCTCAACATCAGAGACTTCATATTGGAGAAAAAAAAAAAAAGATTATGAATGTAAGCAGTGTCAAAGGTCTCCCTTGGTGGCTCACAGGTTTTCAACAGATTATATTTAGAGTAATCCTATGAATATAAGTAATTTAGAAAAGTTTTTATTCAGAGCTCCTACTTTACTCAACATCAGAAAATGCATACTGTGAGAAATACTACGAATGTAAGAAATGTGAAAAGGCCATTAGTCTTAGCTCAAAACTTAAATATTACAGAATTTACATTGGAGAAAAAAAACATCTTATGAATGTAAGCAATGTGGGAACACCTTTAACCAGAGCTCAAACTTTTGCATCAGAGATTGTATACCAGCCAGAACAGACAAGTGAAGAATGTGGGAAGGCTGGTAGTTGTTCACCTACTGGCAAGAATTTTTTTTAAGCTTACTTATTTTTGAGAGAGAGAAAGAGAGCGAGTGGGGGAAGGGCAGAGAGAGAGAGGGAGAAAGAGAGAATCCCAAGCAGGCTCTGTACTGTCAGCACAAGCCCAACGTGGGGCTCAATCCCATGGACCATGAGATCATGACCTGAGCCAAAACCAAGAGTTGGATGCTTAACCAAATGAGCCACCCAGGTGCCCCAAGAAAGTTTTGTGTAAGCTATGTAGGAAAGTCTTTCTTCATAGTTCAGACCTATTAAATATCACATAATTTATAATGGTGAGAAACCTAGGAATGTTAGGAATATAGAAAACCTTTCATTAGGATTCACAACTAATTGAGTATCAGCAAGTTTATAAGTTGATATAGGGAAACTTACGTGCAATGCATCAGTTATGTTACAATAAATTTATTAGAAGAAAATCCTATAGATATTAATCTCATTTGCTGCTTATTTATATCTAGGCATCAGAAAATTTATTTTGGGTCAATAATTGAATGTAGAAAACCCATCACAGTTTAGACTGAGAGAACAAGTCTAAATTCAAGATACAAACTTGAGAGAACTCTTCATAGAATATTTTTTTAAAGAGAGAAGCAAACCATAAAATAAAAACTATAGAGAATAAACTGAGGGTTGATGGAGAGAGGTGGGTGAGGGATGGACTAGATAGGTAATGGGTACTAAGGAGAGCACTTATGGGGAGCCCTGGGTGTTGTACATATGTAGTGATGAATCACTAAATTCTACTGAAATCAGTATTATACTATATGTTAACTAGAATTTATATTTGAACTTGAAACAAAATTTTTAACCCCACATTACATATTGTAGTTCTACCACTCTTTTACTACTGGGACAATGAGTAGGTAAATTAATATCCCTGTTCCTCTTTACTTGTTTTTAAATTGGAGGGAATTAAATATTTCATCTCATATGTTGTCTGACAATCCCCAGTAAATGTTGACAGTATCACTATCACTGGTAGAATCATTACTAAAATGAATGGAGAATACTTTGTTTAATAACATACGAAAGCTTTGATCTCTTACTGCATGTAAATGTAATAAATTCAGAATGTAATAAATATGAACAGCCCATTATTCAGATCCTTTTTGCTGTGTCTGCAAGTTCATACTGGGAAAATAATAATCTCATGATGTAGTGAATGTGTAATTAAGAGTACAGCTTTTAAACCAAATGTTTTATGAAGTAACCTCTATAACAAATCCTTAAAAGCAAAAGTTGTGTAATTTTTATTTTCTGCAGTAGTTATGGATGTTGAAAATTTTGAGGCTCTTAGAAACTTAGTAACATCTGTATGCTTACCAAAATAGACTCTTAAGGGGAATAACAATGAACCACTGATATATCAAGATATAGAATGTGGTCAAAGCTGTTTTCAGTAGTTCATGCATCATATTAAAAAGTCAAGGACAGTTATTTAGCATTTTCATACTGTATCTTAAACACTTTGAATAGGGAATTAATATTTGTTGAGTAAGTAATTATGTTTAACTCAAGAAAAGGGAAAAAATTAAAGACACCCCTGAAATGAATAGATAGAAGGGTCTAATAAAATTAAAATAGATTAATGAAAAAGAAAGCAATAGGGGTACCTGGATGGCTAAGTCAGTTGCGTGACCAACTCTTGATTTTGGCTCAGGTCATGATCTCAGGGTTGTGGGATTGAGCCCTGTGTGTGGCTCCATGCTCAGCACTTAAGATATTCTCTCTCTCTCTCTCTCTCTCTCTCTTTCTCCCCCCCTCCTCTGCTTATGCATGTTCTCTCTAAAATTAAAAAAAAAAAGTAGTTTAAAATAAGGAAAGGAAAAAAAAAGGAATAGGCAAAACCTATTTGAATTTGCTAGACTAGACTTTATCATGTCACATCAGAAAACACTGGTCATAACTCAGTCCAACACTATGAGTGAGAAAGGAGCGATCATGATACATGTCATAAAGATATTTTTTACTGTAATAATAATTTATTACAATAAATTCAAAAATCTAGAGAGAAGGCATAATTTTCTAGATAAATATGTCACTGAAATTGATTCGAGAAGATAAAATATCTGAAGACACTAATTAATGGAAGAATAAATAGTAATGGAACTTTGTTTTTAGATGTTACTAGATAATTTTACAGGTGACACCTTGAGGAAACCTCGCCACTCATTCTACAAGACTCACATCCTGCTAAAAATGCTAGAGCAATGCTTCTCAAACAGATGACCTCTATCCTCAGGGAGGGTTGACAATGTCTAACAATTTTTGGTGCTGCTGGCGTCTAGTGTGTACAGGGCAGGTTGCTGCTAACCCTACAACGCACAGGACAGCACCCCACCCCAGCGCAAAGGATTGCCAGGTTGAGCATGTCAACATTACTGCTATCAAGAAAAGCTGCCATCTAGGATGGCACCCTAAGAACAAAAGCCAGATCAGTATCATTTGCATAGCTTTCATTTCAGCTTCTCACTCTTAGTTTGTAGAAGGTTTTGGAATATTTTGAACATCATTTATTGAAAGTACTTTTTCAGTCTTTGGTATCATTTTGTGTATATTTTCCTGTGTTCACATGCATGTGTACATGTACATGCATCTATATTCCATTTAACCACATACCTTTTTCTTTGTGGTTTCTTATATTCCTGTCTGTCTTAGAAGTATCCCCCACACCAAGGTTGAACAAATGAATATCCTAATAGTTTGTTGTTTTCTGTGCAGATTTTAAAAGACTTTAAGGCTAATATGTCAAACAACCATATAGCTACTACATAGCATTAACATTTTAACAGTTTTATTTCTTAATTTTTAATATTTTTTTTGTTTTTATATTTATTTTTGAGAGAGGAGAGAGGAACAGAGAGAGAGGGAGACAGAGGATCTGAAGCAGGCTCTGTGCTGACAGCAGAGAGCCCAATGAGGGGTTTGAACTCACAAACCATGAGGTCATGACCTGAGCCGAAGTTGTACGCTTAACCGAATGAGCCACCCAGGCGCCCCTCTTATTTTTCTTTTTCTGTTCTTTACTGTCACTTTTCTAATTTCAGTCCTACAACTCCTGTTAGAAATAGCCATCACCATTAATTTTACATATTTTCTTCCTGCATATGTACATACATGCCTGTAACCACTGTGCTGCATGTTCTGTGGGGTTGTTGTTTATTGTCTTTTTAAAAATGTTTATTTATTTTGAGAGAGAGAGAGTGAGTGTGAGTGGGGAAGGGGCAGAAAGAGGGAGAGAGAATCCCAAGCAGGCTCTGCACTGTCAGCACAGAGCCTGCTTTGGGGCTCGATTCCATGAACTGTGAGATCATGACCTGAGCCAAAATCAAGAGTGGACACCCAACCACCTGAGCCACCCAGGTGCCCCTATTCACCCTTATAGCATCATAGTTCCACCATGGCATATTTAGATTTTGTATTATTTTTATTTTCATATTGAGATTCAGCGTAGTTGTGGAATCTATAGGATTCATATCTTTCAATTCTGTAGAAAACTAAGTCACATATTCCTTTTCCTCTCTCATTTATTTTCTTTGGGAATTCCAGTTAAATATATATTGGGCCTTCTCAGTCTCTCCTCTGTGGTTTTTTTCTTCATTTTTAAATCTATCCCTACCCCTTTTATGTATTCTCTATAATTTTTAAGTCTGTTTTGCAGTTTATTAATTCCTTATATAGCTAAGTCTATTTGTGGAATGTAATATTATGAGTTATTTTTATAGAAATTTTTATTTGGTTGTTTTCTAAATGTAAATGTACTTGGTCATTTTGATTCTGTCTTTCTGTTTCTCATGTTTTTAATGAACTCTTCCTTTTTAACGTCATTTCACATTAAAAGCATTTTTTTTAATGCTTATTTATTTTTGAGAGAGAGAGAGAGAGGGAGAGAGAGAGACAGAGTGTGATTGGGAAAGGGGCAGAGAGAGAGGGAGACACAGAATCCAAAGCAAGCTCCAAGCTCAGAACTGTCAGCACAGAGCCCAATGTGGGGCTCAACCCCATGAACCGTGAGATCATGACCTGAACTGAAGTCGGACATCCAACCAACTGAGCCACCCAGGCAGCCCTCATTTTATGTTCTATCTGTTGATACTTCTAATATTGGAAGTCTTCATGGTTCTGCTTCTCATGTATTTTTAGTTTTGGTTTTGTTTTTTTTTTAATTTTTTTTTCAACGTTTATTTATTTTTAGGACAGAGAGAGACAGAGCATGAACGGGGGAGGGGCAGAGAGAGAGGGAGACACAGAATCGGAAACAGGCTCCAGGCTCTGAGCCATCAGCCCAGAGCCTGACGCGGGGCTCGAACTCACGGACCGCGAGATCGTGACCTGGCTGAAGTCGGACGCTCAACCGACTGCGCCACCCAGGCGCCCCTAGTTTTGGTTTTGTTTACTCTCACTTATTTAATATTCTTTCCTAGTGTGGTTTTGTTTTGTTTTACCCTATATACCTTAGAATTTGCCTACAGGTTTTTTTTAAAAAAATCTAAGTCAATTGTATACTCCA